GTAGTCGGATTGCTTCCTCCCAGACACCTTGCTTAGTTTCCCCTCTGAATCTTCCCACCTGTAGCTTCCATCCTTCAGTTTTCTTGTCCTCCAATGTAATGACATAAAACATAATGACCAACTACATGGCCTTAAACACCCAAAAGGAAAGTATAACCAAAGATTAAAGGGGCCACTATAATTTAAGAGTCCATATGTGTAGCTAAAGGCTGCATAACAAGAAACAATGCCAGGTAGGAGATGACTTCTTTTGAGTTGTTGGCCAAGGTGGCCCAAGGGACTCCCAAATAGTAACCCAGCAAAGAACTGAGAAAATGAACAGAAGACCCCAATCTTATCTAAAGGAATATTGACAACTGATTACTGCTAGATGAAGAACAGCTGACTCTCCTAAAACAAAGACCTCTAGATAGGCTGACTAGATTTGCCAGAAGGGCAAGTAGTGGGGAATGGCTGGGGGTGCCAACAACACAGCAGACAGTAGCAGGAATATCAGAGTTTAAGGGCTCTAGTAGGGGGAGGGAGGCTATGGGAGGGTGTCATCTGGGATGTGGGTGTATAGTTGAATAAGATGGTTTGGGATGTTCTATGTGATGTACACATACACACAAATCAACAAATTTTTTAAAACTGAATTATATTTGAGGAAGAAGCATAAACATTTATGTCATGTTAATTAGTAGATGTGATAAACATTACCATTGAAATCTACCCATTGACTTTATAGACATACACAGGTGCCAAGGATCCGAGTGCAACCGATTGTGATTAGTAATAATCAGATACATACAGATGAGAGACGCATGCACCAACATCTCAGTGTTATTAGCAAAAACAATGAGTCTTTGTGTAAGAAACTGTACCATTTTAAAATGAAATGGAGATTTTTTTTAAGGCTAAAAACTCATTCAATTTTTTTAATCACTATTTAAAAAATTTTAATAACTACACGATTAGAAGAAGCATTTCATTACAGCTTTAACATACTTAGTACACTCCAGAGCAAGAGTACATCTCTTTCACAAGTGGCTCTAAGTTTCTAGGTTCACAGTTGAATTAATACAGTTACACAATATTGAACTCAGTATAAGCCCTGTAAGACATAAAATTGAATGAGTTTTTAAACCTTTAAAAAATCTCCATTTCATTTTAGAATATATTGTTCCTTGCAGAAAGACTCATTGTTTTTGCTACTAACACTGAGATGTTGGCACATGCATCTCTAATCTGTATGTATCTGATTATTGCACTTGGATCCTTGGTGCCTGTGTATGTCTATAAAGTCATCGGGTAGATTTCAATGGTAATGTTTATCACCTCTAACATGATGTAAATTTCCATGCTTCCTCCTCAAATATAATATATTTTTTAAAATTTGTTGATTCTTTTTTGTGTGTGTACATCACACAGAACACCCAAACCATCTTATTCAATTATACACCCACTTCCCAGATGGCACCCTCCCATAGCCTCCCTCCCCCTACTAGAGCTCTTATACTCTCATATCCCTGCTACTGTCAGCGGTGTTGTCAGCACCCCCAGCCGTTCCCCACTACTTGTCCATCTGGTGAATCTAGTCAGCCTATCTAGAGGTCTTTGTTTTAGGAAGGCCAGCTGTTCCTCATCTAGCAGCAATCAGTTGTCAATATTCCTTTAGATAAGATTGGGGTCTGCTGTTCATTTTCCCAGTTCTTTGCTGGGTTACTTTCTGGGAGTCCCTTGGGCCACCCTGGCCAACAACTCAAAAAAAGATATGACCTATCTGTCATTGTTGCTTGTTATGTAGCCTTTAGCTATGCATATGGACTCTTAAAAA